ACAATTACTACATTTAGTACAAGTATGTTGGCTATCAAATGCATATCCTTTTGAGCATCTTTTACATTCATTACTACAATACTCACATTCTGGTAGTTCAGTGCAAGACACACATTCCCCATTCTTTAATAAGTATCCTTCTTTGCATCGTTTGCATGAAGTATGATCATCTTGACACCATGCACATCCTAAAACATCACATTTATCACATTTATTACGATTTAAATAATATCCATCTTTACAACTTTGACATCTATTTTCTTTATAAGTACAAGTTAAACATGCATCTCCTCCATTACACTTTTCACAACCACCATATGGATCAATATATCCATATTGACAGATAGTTTGCCATCCTTTATTATTACACATATCAACTCCTTCTCCTCTTTCAGTAGGACATCCTATACATAATCCTTGTGAAAGTCTGTATCTTGTTGTGCACTCATAACAAACACTTCCAGTAATATCACAAGAAGTACATCCTTTGAGTTTGTTTGAACAAAGAACGCATTTCCCATTCTCCAAATAATATCCATCTTTACATCCAGTACATTCATTAAAAGTGTTGCATGTCGTACATTCATTAGGACATGCTAATCATTAATACTGTGTTATTCTTCATATCATTTACAAATAAAAGACTCAACAAACCAGAGCATAATCCATTAGACAAATATGTTCCAACTTGGCATGAAGAACAACGAATTGTTGTACATGGACTACACCAACTAGAATCTCCATAAACAACAACACCATAATTTCTTTCACAAGTAATGCAAGAATCAGGACCAGAACATAAACTACAACCAATAGGACATTCTACTGATTAATTCTTATCTTTGAAAATTTAATGATTCAAATTTTAATTTTATAAAAGAAGCAACAAACGATAGCACATTCCATTATCTAAATAATATCCTTTAGAACATGATGAACATTGTGTCGGTGATGAACATTCCAAACATGCAGTTGGACACTTTTCACATAGACTTACTTTAGATGAATATTTTCGTAACCAATATCCTAAATTACATTTTGTACAATGATATTCTTCATCACATGCTTCACACCCTCTTTTACATTCTATTACAGTCAATAACCCTCACAAACCAATTAATTTTAATTAATGAAGAAAAAACAAACTATAACAATATGAACAGAAGGCATTATCCCGCCATGAACCATAGCTACATCCTTTGGTACATGCATGACATAACCCCCATAAACAATAAGGACATTCATCATAACATTGACTATATACATGAAGACTGAATAAAACAATCAACCATAATGTGCTTTTCATCCTTCAAAATAATTATTGATTAGAAGATGATTTTACAACCACAAATAACTCTCAAAAACAACAAGATAGGCATCTAATCCTTTTTTTGCTTTTTTTTCTGAAACTTCTTTGTTTCTATAGAAGAATTGTATTGCAAATTATTTTCACTCTTTTTAGACAAAACAAATTTCCCCCAAATAATCCACTTCTTTTTTTATGGTTTTTCAAATAAAAATAACTGTCAATGTTCTTTAATCTTCTTGGATATTTACCTATTTTTAAATGTAAAGAGTCATTACTGCCTGCCTTGACTATTTCCAAAAAGATAAAAGAAAAAAAATGCTAAAGAAGTACTTTGTTTTTTTTGAACAACCAAAACCCAATTTGCTAAGCGAGACAAAAACAAGTTCAAAACAGCAAATCTCCAAAATATTCAGTTGCTTTTTTGTATTAAATACAAATTGATGGAATGAGTTACTTGAGATTATAATAAAAAATTAACTAAAATTGATAATAATAACAAAATAATAGTATTAATGTTTAAATAAAATGAACCTTAGTTGTAATACATTGTTAAGATGAGAAATATTAATGCATTTAATTTCACTTGATGATATGTTACTTTGCTCATTTAAATAGTTAGTGTAAAACACATGTAAGTGAGTTGAATGTAAACCAACTTTGAATTGAATTTCAGGAGAAAGAGCATAAAAATAATTCATTAAAATGCCAAAAGATGGTGAAATAAAATCATTAATTTCAAATGAAAATAATGAAGGAAAAGGAGAGTTAATCCAATCAATATCGTTTGTGTTTAATTGATGATTAAGTGTACCTTGAATGATTTTAATTTGAGTTGAAGGTTGTAGTGTTAGTCTTGTATGTTTCATGAATGAACGAAATAAATGAAAGAAAACAAGACCTCCTTTAATTTTCTCTGGAGTTATTTTCTTGATGGCATCAGTATATCGTTTAATAAAATTCAAGACCCCAACACTTGACTTAGAAGCATTAGCAATTGAAGATAACAGTGTCATTAAAGAAAACCATTGAGACAAGTACATTTTATAGAGTTTATTTTGTGAACAATGATTGACTGACTCTAATAACTCTTTTGATAATGCTAAAGCAACTAACTCACTACGAGCAAGACTACCCACTCTTGATTTGATCTTAGATAATGATACAAGCAGTCTAATGTCATTATTATCACCAATCTTACTTATTTCCTGCTCCAGCTCTTCATCTTTACATTGAATTAAGTCTACTTCAGTATGAAGAGAATTAGAATGAAGTAACAATGGTTTATATATTAAATCATCAAGAAAATCACCACAAATAATAGTAGAAGAGTCTAATGTTTTTATTGGGAAAATGATATGAAGATAATATTGAAGAAGTAATTCTGGAGAGAGAACAACATCATCAATATCACTTACCAATTGTTTTCCAAATATATTATTTAATGAAATAATAATAATAGTTAATGGCAAAGATAATTGTAGTATTATTTTAACAAAACACGTTCTAACTCTTCTTCCATAAAATGAAGGAGTTTCATAATGTTCTGAATGAATAAATTTAAATGGTGAAGAGACTGATATTTCATTAGTGGAATAAATGTTGTCAAAAGGAAATGAAGAAGGTTTACCATGAATATAAATGTTTATTTTCTTCTTTGATTTATCCTCAATGAATTTATTTGATGTTCTCATGTCATATAAACAAATTTCATATTCATTTGTTTGTGATAGTTGTTGTAATTGTACATTTTTGACAGTTCTAAAGAAATTCATTTTATCTTTAATCTTTTTTTAAGTTCTGTTTTTTATTAAAAATACAGTTTTAATACAATGAAAATAAATTATGATGATACTCTCTCATTCCTTTATCACAAAGAATATTTGTTTTGTATTGATATTAATACCAAATATAAATAAAAATGTTTTTATGAAAAAGTGTATTTGCTATGAAAGGTAATGAAGTTGTTTAGTACAATTATTAAAAGAAAGAACTTTGAACCTTCTTTCAAAAAGGAAAACATATTTATTTCATTTTAAATTGTTAAGATTTAATCATCAATCAACATCAATAGTAAATAAATTTTGATTAGTTGATGTTAAATTAAGGAAATAATTGAGAAAACACTATTTTTAGGATTTATTATTAAAATAAAAAAACTATAAAAATATAATAAATAAAATGTAATCACTCATAATTTTAAATAATAATAAAAAAGAATATGTAAATGGATAAAAAGAAAAATAAAATTGGGATCCACTTCGGTGGAAATCCCATAAAATTGGAACAATACAGAGAAGATTAGCATGGCCCCTGCGCAAGGATGACACGCTCATACGAGAAGTTAAAAAGTTTTTTTTTGCTATTTTAATAATTTATGTTATTTAAAAAGAAATAAAAATGTTATTCAAAGAAATTGAATTGAAAAAAAACTAAAATCTTGAAAAGATAAAACTAAGAAAGTCAATGTTTAGTTGGTTTTTCCGTAAAAGTACTCCAGTTGAATTAAGAACGGCATTTGTAGATGACCATACTTGGGTTGCAGAATTGAACTCAGGTGATCAACTTCAAACCATTAAAGAATTGTTTGCGTCTACGTTTGATTCAGATAATTTTGTTGTTATTGATGAAGAAAAGTCAGTTACTGCTGTTTTGAGTGGAGATGAAAGATATCAATGCACATTAACATTTGGATACAATGGAGATAACAGAAGAATTGCAGTAATTTCATACATTGATTCAGAAGACGAAGATATTGTTAAACCAACCATTAATGCTTTTGCATTAGAAATGGAGAATTATTCATTATTATTTGAACAACCAATTAAAGAACAAAAGCCAATTGAAAATTGTATGGTTCCAATGAAAGAAGTTATTTATGAAAGAGATGTTATTATTGATGAAGATGGAAATTCAATAAGTGTAATGTTAAGAGAGAATGTTGATCTGAAGAAGATGCTCAGTAAAATAGGAAAATTGGCTAAAGATAAGTATCTTCTTGAAGCCAAAACTGATAATGGTAAATTAGAATTTCATGAAAAAGGAAATGAAGCGTTTAGAATTGTTGTCCAAGTTGGTAGAAATAATGATAAACAACGTGTTATGGCATTAACTGCAAGTGAAAAGAGAGTGTATTGGAAAGAATTTACTGAAGCAGTTGTGAGTTTATTAATGAAAGGAAAATGTCTTAGCAGTTATGCGGTTACTGCTACACTAAGAAAGAATTTAAGTAATACTGCTAAATCTATTACTACTACTGAAGACAAACAATCAAAAGAAGAAAAGAAAGAAGAGGATCATATTAGTATTGAAACATCCCCAAAAGAAGAAGCAAAAAATGAACAGAAAGAAGAAGTAAAACAAGAAAAGAAAGAAGAAGTTCAAATTCCCATTGAGCAGAAATAAAATTTCATTTATTTTTTTTGTTTTTCTTTAGAAATTTTAGAAATAAAAAATAATTTGATTAAAATATTTTTCTTCTTTTCTGTATTTACAATTTCATTTACAACTCTAGCAGCATATTAGAAGAATCTTCTAACGTGATAGTTTTGAAATTAACTCTGTAATACCAATATAACATATTGAAGAAATTGAAATAATCACTTCTTAATATTAAGAAAATCAAATTATGGATATATCTATTAATTGACGTTTTTATTTCCTAAGTTATCTACTCTAGTCTTGAATAAATATTGAATTATTTCTATATAAATTCAATTCATTGATAATAAAACATATAACTATATTTCTTGTTTTTGCTTTTTATGGTATTTTTATTCTTTTGAAGGATTTTTGATATTTATTATTACAATTAAAAATATCATTTTCTGTATGTTTATATGAAAAGAGAGAATGACAAAAAAATATTTAATAATTTCAGTTTGTTTCAACTTGGAATATAATAAAAATCTATTTAGCTTGTAAAACTTAAAGTCTTGATTCTAATGATATAACCATTTTGTTTTTTTTTTTACTTTTCATTCTTCTTTTCATTCACTTCTAGTACTATAACAATATAAAAGAAACTAAAATAAAAAAATACTTACAGAATTAATAAAAGAGTTTTAGTGTTTATCATATATCATTGAAAAAAAACATATAATGCATACTATAATCAAATTTACTAAGTAGTAGTTTTTTAAATATTATTCTTCAAATTCAAAAAAAGAAATTAATTATGATTTACTTAATAATTAGTATTTCATCATAGTGAGAAGTGATTGAATCAATTTCTTCAACATGATTTATTTCAATTGAAATAAAGTTTTTTTCAAACATTATCAAATTAAATGAAGAATTATTTAAGTTGTTATTTGATATTTATTTTGAATTGATAAATATTAAAACACCTCATTCTTTATATTATTTATTTTATGTTGAACATATCAACAACATTATATTTATAACCAATTTTAATTATTATCAATATAACCAACTAACAAGTCAAATTTTTTTCTTGACAATACAAATATGTTTGATTCAAGTCTATTTATTTTCAATATATTTGTGTGTTGTTAAATAATACTCCAATCATAATAAATACTTCTTTATCACTCACTCTTAATGAATATTAATAAATAAGAACCAATTCATCTTAAATATGTATTATATCCACCAAAGATAACATCGTAACCAAAGAATAACTAATAGTTCAATACTTTAATTTATTTTAATTTTTGTGTGGTGTTTCTGATGTAGTACATTAAAATCCAATATAACTTTACTTTAACAAAGAAGAAATATAAAATGATAAAGACAATTATAAAATTACAAAAAGTTATAATAAGACTGAATAAAAATGAAATAAATTATTTCATTATTCATGCATCATTCTTTTGTTTTTTATGACAAATATTATTCTCTTTGTTATTATCATATTTTTATGTTTTTGTTATGATCAAAATAAACTAATAAGTTCATTTTAAACATTAAATAGAACTTAAATATATAGAAATGTCAATTGAAGAATGTCAACATCTTCCAAAACAAATTTATGAATTAAAATTAAAAACTTTTTCATTTAAGTGTGAATGTGGTCAATTGACAGAATGTGTTTGTGTAACTTGTAGAAAACCTATGTGTGAAGAATGTCGAGAGAAACATGAACATCCAGTAAGTTGTGGAACGAAAGGGGGATATTGTAAAGAGTGTAAGAGAGAAATTCCAAAAGAAAAAGTTCAAAAATTATATGATACTCTTCCCTTATTTTTACCAAAAAATGCAAAAGGATTTGGATTATTTATGAAATATAGAAAACCATCAAATGTAGTGGTTATGGCAGGTGCTGGAATTTCTACAAGTGCAGGAATTCCTGATTTTAGAACACCAGGAACAGGGTTATATGATAATTTAGAAGCATATAATTTACCATTTCCAACTGCTGTTTTTGACATTAATTATTTTAAGTCAAATCCAAAACCATTTTATACAATTGCATCTGAATTAATGCCAGGTCTTGGAAAATATTTTCCAACACCAACACATTATTTTTTAACTTATTTAAATAAATTAGGATATATTTCAATGCTTTTTACTCAAAATATTGATGGACTTGAAATTCAATCAGGTTTTCCTAATGAAAAATTAGTTATGGCACATGGTAATTATTATTCTGGTCATTGTTTAAAATGTAAAAAATCATTTAAACAAAGTTATTTTATAGATAATGTACGAGATGGAAAAGTATGTTATTGTGATTCTTGTAAAGGATTAGTAAAACCAGATATTGTTTTCTTTGGAGAAGGATTACCTCAACAATTCTTTAATAATTTTGAAAAAGTAGAAGAGTGTGACTTATTAATTGTTTTAGGAACTTCATTACTTGTTCAACCATTTGCCTCTTTAATTGATTTAACAAAAAAGAATACACCAAGAGTATATATTAATATGAAAGACTTTAATTCATTTAATAAAATTAATGACCTTCAAATTATTGGAAAATGTGATGAATCAATATTAGAAATTGCTGAATATATGGGAATAGGTGATGACTTTAAAAAATATCTTGAAGAACAACAATTAAAATTAAATTAAATGAATTTAGTACTTAATAAGTTGTTTTAACTAATTGATTCTTTTGATAATGAAAAATTTTATATAAAATTTTTTCTTGTTGTAATAAAGGAATAAGAATTTCAATAACTCCCTTTCCTCCTTTTGAAAATAAAGGAAGAACTACTCTACGTAATTCACCATTATTACCTAAACTATATCGTTTATGGATTTTTATAATTGATTTACAAATATCTGTATATGAATTACCAAAAACTCCTCCTCCTAATAATGTTAATACAATTGTCGTTCTATGATTCTTAATTGCAACTAAGTAACATGTCTCATATCCACAATCAAGAGCATATGATAATACTTTGGGTTTTCTATTAACTAATTCATAATTCCTATATCCACTACATCCTTGTCCAATATTAATTGCAGCTGCAAATACTTGATCAATTCGATTTCTCATTTGTTTTGGAATAAGTATCATTTCATTTCTTCCATAAATATAAGTAACTTCTACATTTGAATGAAAGACTGAAAGATATTTTTCTTCATCTTTTTCACTTGGTTCTTTTACATCTTTTTCAAGAATTGGATATCCATTAATAACATGATAAATTGAATTTAATTCTCCTAGAATTTCTATTTGTTTTTCTTGACTTTGTTCCCATTCTTTTGGTTTTGTCGTTTTATTATAAAATGGAAAAATAGTTCTTTGTAATGCAGCTGCAGGTGCTCCAAGAGATGCTATTGGTCCTTGAGTCCCATCATAAATATAATTTGTAGTAAAATTAAGTTCGTTAGGTTCTATTGTTTCACTCACACTTTCTACTGCATTAAAATTTGAAGCAACAAGAAATACAGAGTTGTTATATTCTTTCATTGCTTGCATTGTTGCAACATTTACATGATCAATTGATTCATCGTCTTCTCTCAATATAATTTCAAAAGTAATATCTTGAGTAGATTGATGTTGACACTTTCTCAAATCTTTTAGAGGAACCATTTCAAGACAACCACATGAAAATTCTTCTTTTGTTATTTTATTAACAATAACCATTTCAGGAGTACTATAAAGTGATGGTTTTTGGTATATCCAATTTTCTTTATCAACTCTAAATTCTGACTCAGTTTCTCCTGTAATTCGTTTAACCCAATCTTTTCTTCTTACTTCTTCACTTCGTATACTCATTCTTGACTTATTTATTTTAAACTAGAAAATCCTTTATATAATTTCTTTCAATAAGAAAATTATCTTGTAATAAAAATATGAAATACTTAATTTTATTACTTTTATTTCAATGTTATTCTTTTTCATAATATCACTTTAATTAAAAATATATACTAATAAATATAATATATATTCATTTTTATTCATTTTTTTTAGAATAACAAAAACTCTCTTTTTATTTACAAATTATTTTCTGATTCTGGTTTTATTTAAATTGATCTTTTGTTTTTCTTGTGTTACTTTGGTTTCTTCTTTTATGAAGCAGAGAATATGAATTAGATTGCATTAAAGTATTTTTGTTTTATATAATACTTTAAATTCTATAAGTCTTCATGTTTTATTCAAGTTAATAATTTTGAAAATGAATGAAATATTTATTTACTGCTTTTGTTTATTAAATTTATAGACAACAATTAGAAATACATATTACTTTATTTCTCTATTTAATTTTAAATACATTTAATCTGATGAATAGTTTTTGTGTATATCTTTCAAAATCATTATTTCATTGTGTGATGATAATAAATTTTTGTCACTATTGCTAAAGACAATTTTTACATTAAAATGAATCAGTTTAAATGAACTTTTGAGTTGTTATACATTTTGTCATATGTTGTGCAATTTTTGAGATAAAATTTATGAAACAATTTTCTTCAATACAAATCAATTCTATAGTATAAATGTTCAAATTGGATTATCAGAAAAATACATAATTATTGGAGGAAGATAAATTAAATATTTACATAAATATGTACAATGTCAAAATGTAATGATAATTATGCTTGAAATAAAAGAAAATCTTATTAACCATACAAATTTTTAATAAATGAACAATGAACAACTTAGTGATATTTTTTTTTGTAAAATATATGAATGAAATAAATGATGTTATGTATTAAACGAGTAATATACAAAATAGGAAGTTAAGTATGATAACATTCAAATTAAATAGATTGTTACTTGAGTATTTTGTTACTAAAAGAAATGACTTACAAAACACTTAAGAAACTATATGATTGTATCATATCATCACTAATTAATATAATCCAATCTCCGCAAAGAGATAGTCAAATTCAAAACTTATTAACAATACATTAACTCATGTAACTAATGGATAGCAATGATAAAATTAATTTAAAAGATATAATATCATTGAAATGTTAGTATTGTTGGATGATTGAGTTAAAAAGAATAATAAAAACAAACTAACGAAAAATAATAAGACAAATATTTCATAAAATTAAAACAAATCTAAACACAAGTTCACAAAACGAAAGGATAAAGAAAATAATAAAATAAATGATATGTTATACTATCAAAGAAAAAAACTGGTTAATTTCATAAATGACACAAAGGAAGATATTACCTCACTACCCCTATTTTTGTTTTCGTTTGCTTTAGTAGACTTTTCAATTAAATCAAAAAAAGAATTAAAAGTAATAAACTAAAAGAAAATGAAAAAAACAAATGATAAAAATAACTTCAGGGAAAGTTCATATTTTTTTACAAAAAAAATCAAAGCTAAAAATACTTCGAGAAAAAGCAAAATAACGGAGATTTCTAAAAGAGATTAGGAAAAAGAAGAGAGAAAAATAATACAAAACAAGAGGAAAAGCTGTTGATGTCAACTCCTAAAAGAAAAAATTTTAAATTTTCTAAAAATAGATAAAAGAAAAAGTATTTGGAAATCCTTTCTTTTTTGAAAACAAAAAGAGTTAGAAGAACCCTATTTAAATCTCATCTTAAAGAAAAAAAGTAATCAAATGAATACAATAGAACATTGTACTATTCCTGTTTTTAACGAATATGACTCTACACCTATTCCATTAGAAACACCAGAAAATGAAGAATATCATTTAAAATTATGTCTTTGTCCATTATGTAAACATGGAATTGAAGTATTTGGAAGTAAACGACCTGTTTCATGGATATTAATTTGTAGAATTATTATTTATTCATTAATGGAAATTCATAAAGGAGTTTCATATTTTTCATTAAAAGATGATATTCATGGATTTGTTGCAACACATTGGCATATATTTGGACAATTAGATCAATTTAAAACAAGTCCAAATAGATGGAAAAAAGCATTTCTTGATGGACTTAGTCATTCACCATATTTTCAAAGTGGAACATTAACATTAAAAAAACCAAATTTTTGGAAATTAAGAAGACGAGATTGTCCATGGATTAAACAAAAACGATGTAATATTATTGAAGATGAAGATGACCAAGATATTAATCAATCTTTACTTTTACCTCAAACAACAGAAAGTTCTCCTATTCCTGATTTAAATGGAATCCCTACTTCTGATAATACTAAAGATTATTTAAAAATGTCAGTTGAATATGCTAAAGCTCAACTTAATAAATGTCAGTGGGTTTGTCAAAATTTAGAAAATGATTCACAAATTGCGCAAAATATGAAAATGATTACAGAACAACTGAATTATATTCATATGTCATTAAACGTGATTGTTACAAATATCGAAAATTCTCTTCCATAAAACAAAATGAATATCATATTTAAATAGTTTATTTATTCTTCTTCTTTTTGTTCTTATTTTTCTTTTGTTCTAATAATTAATTAAAAAATTATTTATAATCTTTCTTTTCTTTTCATTTTTCTTTCTAATATCTTAGGTTTTTTTTTTCGTTTTGTCTCGTTCATGTGATGACGAAATAGTATTTATTAAAAAAAAACAAAAATATTGTTTTATTTTATTAATTCGTTAATCGTTTTAGTATTAACTATCTTTTTTGTAAATTTAAACTTGTTTAATTTGTTGTTTCTAAACTTCTTAATGTTTGTTTTACTCAATTTCTATTTCAAATAATAACTAGTCTCTTCTCTTAAGAAATAGAGAAACCTCTCAATATTATAATCTTCTTTCTTTTCTTAAAGAAGGATAGACTTGTCCTGTTCAATACTTCATATTTACTTACATATAAATGATGGTTGTTAAATGTAAAAATAAAATGTTATTCATACTAACTGTATTATTTTAAAACAATTCTTTGTTGCGTTTCTTTAATTATTTTTCTTATTCCATTCCATAACAATTTATAAAAAACTAAAGATGAACATATATTCAAATGGTTATTGAATTTAAATAGAACATAACACTACGTCTTAAAAATCACATAAAAAGGAATTTTCTTATACCCTCTAATGAAAAGATAAATTAAAGGAAAATAAAAAGATGAACATTTGAGAGATTAGATTTTTTATATGATTAATTTCAAGAGAAAATTATTTATTTAACATATTTAAGATAGAAACAATACAAAATAAGTCATCAAAATGAATTGCTTTTTATCATCATAAATATATTATTTGACTTAAAAAAAAAAAGGAGAAAATTATGATTAATTCATTTTACTAAGAATTATATGGAATAATAATTATACAACTTTAGATAAAATGAAATTTTTTTATAAAAAATAAAAAATAAAATCAATAAACAAATGAATAATAATGAGGAGAAACTGGAGCAAAAGAAAGATTATAATAAGAGTTTGTAATAAAGTCAATACCTAATGAATTTTGATTTTGAGATGGAGAGATTAATTCGTTAGTGGGTTGATTAAAATTTTTATAAAAAAGATTAGGATTAATAGATAATTGATGAGGAGGGTCAATGCAAGGAGGTAATTTATTTTTTTGATTTAATTGTAATAAATTAATACTAAAAGGATGAAAAGCAGGTAATGTAGAACTTTTTTCTTCTTTTACAAATTGAGAAACAATATATTGGTTCATTTGTTTTCCAATATGACTCATTTGAGTTTGAGTTATAATAGTTTGACCATTTAATGAAATTTCATTAATTTTTTCCATTTGTAATGTTTTTTTAGATGATTTTGTAGAGCGTTTATGAACAGTATATCCATTTTGTTCTGCATATCCAACAAGCCAATTAAATGTTAAAGCTGCTCTATTTAAATCTCTTCTTCTTTTAATTGTTTTAATTTGGTTTGATGACATATCCTTTTTTATTTCAGATGCATATTGTTTATCGCAATATTCATCAATAACACTTCCAAAATCTAACTTTTTTTCATTGAAATAGACATTATTAATAATTAAATATTGAACTGTCTTAATAGCAAATCGTTCAGGTCTTCTAAACTCAAATGAAAATCCAATTGAATTTAATAATGCAAGTAAAACTCCTTGTTGTACTCCTTCAAAACTCTTTGACTCTCTTTTAACTTCATTCATTTCATCTTTGTTGTAAGTTTTAGTCATAACAAAGTATATTATTCTCAAGAGTTTTTGTTCTGTTAGAGTGCTATTGATGGTAGGACTTTCTTTTTTTAGATTTGTGAATAATTCACTTGGTTCATTCAATAAAAATCTTCTTTTATTTCCCTTTTCTTCCTACAAACTTTAATTAATCTAAATTCAGCTTTGTGTTTTTTTTTGTTATATTTTATTATTAATTATTAATAAATTCAGTTAGTTTTCTTAATTATTTCTTTTTCTCTGCTTGTTTCTCACATGCAGATTTTTTCATTTTTTTTTATTATTTCTAATGAATGTTTTGTATAACTTTAATTCATAACAAATTATTAGGTTGATTATTTCTGATTTATTTGATTGTTATGTTTTTTCATAACGTATTGATTTTAATGAAAAAGAAAGTCATGTTATTTATTTAACTTTTGTTTATCCAAAAATACCCCATTTGAAATTGTATTATTTGTTTTTCTTATCGTTTTTTTTTTGGGATAATGTAAATGTCTTTAATGTTTATTGGTTTACAATGAATTAATATAACTTCTCATTGTTAAAATTACGAAAAAGAATGTTATGGTTGAAGAGTTGTTTTTGTTATTCACTGAATTAAACAATTTTAATTTTGAAAAGTCTATTTCTCATTATTCAAAACTCAATGAGAAAGTTAAAGTAAAATGATATTTTATAAAGACATTTTAATATAATAAAAATTGACTAAAACATAATTTGGAATAAATAAAATGATAAAACATGTAAATTTCTTGAATCATTCAAGATTTTAGAGGTTTTTCATTACATTTATAGAAAATTATTGTTTGATTTTTTTATAACATTATTTATTATTATATTATATCTTTCATTCTTAATATTCATTTTTCTTATTTATTCTTTACTGTGGTTTTCATTTGATGTCTGTAAACAGAAATAATAGTTATGCTAATAAAGATGAAATATATTTTTTGATTGAATTGAAAAAATTATCATCACATTTTTTAAATTATTGGAATTGTATTTCATTAACAACCAAATAAGAATATTTATTATTACTATTAATTTCATTTTCTTTTGTAGTTTTGATATTTCATTAATTGAATTAAATCATTTTATTTTTATTTATGTTTATTTTCTTTTATTAACTGTTGTACTAATTTATTTGTTGAATTATTTATTATTTATTATTTGTTTATTATTATTAATTTGATGTGTTTATTATGTTATTTTATTATTTACTTTATCTTTTGTTTAAATTATTAATTGTTATTTCTTCTTATTCATTTCTATTTATTTATAACTCAATGTGTTTAAATTATGTTTTATACAAATATATCATTTTATTTAAATTCATCTGTTGTGTAGTATTTCTTATTCTTCTTTTCTTTATTAAAATCATTATATTTATTCTTTTATTTATTATCATTTTCTTCTTATAAACCATAAAATAATTTGTATTAAATTATCTTGTTTGTTTTAATGTGCTGTTAAATATTTCTTAATTCCATCTGGTGTTGGTTCAATGGTGTCTTTGCCTGGTTTCCAATTGAGTGGACAAACTGCTCCATGTTCATCACTGAATTGAATTGCTTTAACTATTCTGATTGTTTCTTCCGTTGATCTTCCAATTCCATCATCATTCATTTGAATGTATCTTACTTTTCCTTTATCATCAATGATGACATATCCTCTTCTTGCAATTCCTGCTTCGACATTTAACATTCCATATTTGATAGAAATGCATCTCTTAATATCTGATACTAATGGGAATGTCAATTTTCCTACTCCTCCTTTACTTTTATCTGCTTCACACCATGCTTGATGACAATAAACTGAATCTACACTCACTCCAATAACTTCACAATTGATTTCTTTCAATTGTCCTGCAAGTTCACTATATCCAATCATTTCTGTTGGACAAACAAATGTCCAATCCAATGGATAAAACAACAATACAACATATTTTCCTTTATATTCATTAATATCAATCTCTTTGATTGAACCACATGGACAATATGCTGGTGCTTTAAATTCTGGGGCTTCTTTTCCAATTTGTGCTTTTTCAAATGTGTTTATAAATTTCTTAAATGCTTTTATTCTTGGACAACAACATTCTTTCTCTTGACATTCTTTCTCTTGACATTCTTTTTTACAACACTCTTTTTGTTGATTGCAAGACATTTGACTGATTGAATTGATGAGATTGTGGTGATGATGAGATGTTTAAATGACAAATGAACTACCAAAATCATCTTTACTTAACTAAAATAAGAATGTCGTCATCATCACTTCTGCATTATTCTCATTATGGTAATTATTCAACTTTCAAACAACTTATAATGAAAGAACTGGTAAATAGAAAACAAAAATGACGAGATAAAAAGAAGAAAACGGAGATACACACATTCACACATTCTAAATGAATCTAATAAAGAATAAGATGAGGAGAAAGAGAAATGTATTGGCACAAAACATCAATAAGAAATAGAAAAAGTAGTTAATTAATTGGTATTATGTTTTTTATATCATTTTTGGTTCATGAAAAATTAATCACAATCTTTGTGTTTGAAGTTTGTTCATCATTTATTCTTTTATTCGTTTTTATTAACATGTGTTTTTCTTTTCTTCATTCCGTGATTGATTTTGATTTAATCTCTTTCATTTTTCTTCATTTTTATTCTTCATTTCATTTGTTTGTTATTAAAACTCTTCTTTATTTTATTATTTCTTATTTGATTATCACTTCATTATCACTTCATTAACTTCATTATCACTTCATTATTATGAATATTCCATACTTTCTTAACATGTAAATCATTTTCTTTGATAATACAATTTCTTTGATTCAGACAATTCATTACAAACATATTCCCACCATTACCAATTCATTAATATTATCATCTTTACAAATACACATATTCTAATATAACACATGACATTACAACATCCAAATAATCCACACTATCATTTATATAACAATGAACATTACATTTTCTAACCAAGCATGACATCAACATAACAAGAAGATAAAAATGATAAATAAAACAATGATTTTAATGTTTATATTGTGTTTCTAAATTTTCTACTTTCATTTCATAATGATTAACACATTGATTATATTTTACATCATACTGAGAAATGGATGACTCGGTTTTTTTGACATGCTTTAATTCTATTGAAATAAAGTTTTTTTTCAACCATTATCAAATTAAATAGTTCTTTCATTTAAGTTGTTGACTGATTTTTATTTTGAATTTAATGAGTAATAAAATACACATCATTCTTTATACTACTGTTTTAATGCGAGTATGTCTATAACACTATGACTATAGATCATCTCATTTATCACCGACACAGCTTAAAGAAACTTTTTTTAATTGATGATACCAATCTATGTTCAAAGTATAGTCACTATTAACAAAATAAATATTCATCTTTCTTAATAAATAATAATCCATTTTAATAAACAATGCACCTCTAATAGTCATTCATAATATTAATAGCAAATTAGTCTTAAATGGAAATTATATAAACAAATGTATATGAAAAAAAGACAATAACTAAGAAATTCCAGAATGGGAAGTACTAAGTCATTTTTTTTAAAAAAAAAAAAAATAAATGATGTTTATTCAAAGGGATATTTAATTGTAAAATGAACTTAAAACTATCATTTAATGGCTGAACAACAAGATCAAGATTCAATTTCATATGCAATTGACATAGGAACAACTTATTCTTCTATTGCTTATTTTAAAGGTAAGAATAATGAACCTACTATAATCCAAGATGAACAAAATAAAGACCAAGTGGCTTCATGGGTTAGTTTATCACAGTTAGGCACTAATGGCAATACAATTGTAGGAAATAGTGCGAAGGATGATATTCATAGTGAATGTGTTATTTACGATTCTAAGAGAATTATAGGAAGGGATGAGAGTGATGTGAGTTATGAAGATCGTGCTAATTGGCCATTTAAAGTAAAAAGGAGAGATAATGGAAATGCATATATTGAATGTTATAACCCACAAACTCAAAGTACTGAAGAATTTGAACCAGAAGAAATAAGTGGAATGATATTAAAACATTTATATAATAATGCACAAATGAAAGTTAGAATTAATCAAATATCAAATGTTGTTGTTACTGTTCCAGTTAATTTTAGTGATAAACAAAGAGATGCAACTTTGTTGGCATGTCAATTGGCAGGTATTAAGAATGTTATACTTGAAAATGAACCAACAGCAGCTATTGTTGAATATAAAAGAGAATATCCAAATTCATTAAAAGAAGGAGATAGAGTTGTAGTAATTGATTTTGGAGGAGGAACATTAGACGTAGCTTGTTGTAAAATAATAAGTGATAATAGTGTTAATGTAGAATCAAATGGAGGAGATCAAGATTTAGGAGGAAATGATTTTGATAAAGTGATGATAGACATTATTAAAAAAAAAGTAGAAGAAGATATTCCGGGATATTATAAAAAGAAACGAGGAATGACTCAAAAAGAAAAGATAACATATAAAAAGAAATTAGTTAGATTAAAGAAAGAAGCAGAACGAGTTAAAGTTGAGTTAAGTGATAGAATTAATAATGAATTAGCTAAAAAAGAAGTGAAAACCACCAAAGATATAATGCCTGAGGTAGAATTAGAATTAGACAGTTTATTAGGTAAAGAGCATAGTGAAGATAATATTGGTACTATCATTACAAGACAAGAATTTGAAAAAGAATGTGAAGCAAGGGGATTATATGAAAGGTTTATAAATAAAATAAAACAAATCACTCAAAAAAAAGGATATAAAAAAGGAAATGTTCAATTGGTGTTATTAATTGGTGGAACATCTAAAATGCCAAGAATTAGAGAAGAAGTTAGTAATTTATTTGGTCAAGTAATATTTTCTAATAATAACTTTAATCCACTTACTGCCGTTGTAAAAGGAGCTGCCTATTTAGCACATTTAAAACAAGAAAATGCTATTGGTCATGAAGTTGTATATGATATTGTTCCAATACCAATTGGAATAGAAGTAGAGGGAGGAAAATTTGAAGTACTTGTTAAAGATGGAGAAACACTTCCTACAAAAGGAACAACCAGACAGTATTGTACCACTCGAGATAATCAAACTAATGCAGATTTTATAATTTATCGTGGATTTGGTAAATATGTTAGTTCACTTGGGGTTGAAAGAGTTACAAAACTTAGTATTAATGGAATTCCCAGTGGAAAGCGTGGAGAACAAAAATTTGAATTTACAATTCACATTAATAAAAATGGAATGATGGAAATTAGTGCTTCTCTTATTGGAGGTAATATTAAAGAAAAATTAAGTACTAGTCTTGATTTATCTAAAACATCACAAGAGATTGAACGATTAATAGAACATTTCCAAAAATTTTTTTAAATAAATGAATTTTATTCATTCTTTATGTTTTATATTTTTTTTTATAACAACGAATTAAAACAAATAAATAAAAATATGAAAATCAATTATTTATTAAAAGAAAAAGTTAATTAATTGTTTTTAATAGTGTCTATTTCTGTTGTAGATTATATTAATTATAGATGTTTCTTTATGACAAAGTAAGTTGCTTTTTATTTTTTATTACCAGTCACTAAGTGGAGGTTACTAGAAATATTCACAGACTTGGATATATTTTTTTTCTTCTTAATTCAAGTCATAAATATCATATATAAGTATTAATTTATAACATAAAACTATCTATACAACAGTAAAGGATAAATACTATTTATTATTTCACACTTGTTAAATTAAACATATAATAAAAATTAATATATTAGTCTTCTTAAAAAACATTAAAATATATTAAAAGTAGTTTCTTATACAACTTTTTATAGTTTGTTCACGTCAGTTTTCTCAAAAAAGAAACAAAAACAGATGATAAATAATTACAAATGGAAATCAATGGAAATTCAAGAAATTTAGATTCAATAAATTCGATAAGGAAAATCTAAATGGATGAAATTCTACAAATATTCTTGTGGATATATTGTCATAAACTACCAAAGACATGAATGTCTAAAACGAAAAATTGTATTTATGTCCGACTAAGAATCAAAAATAATTATATGTAAAAGATTTATAATATTTGTTGTTTGTTAATAAATAAAATTATAAAAGGGGGGTTATGAAAGAATAAATAGAAAGAAAAAAAGATAATGTAATAATATTTATAGAATAGTTTGTATTAAGTTTTTTTTCGGAGTTAACATAATTATCAAAGAAAAAGGTGTTAAGAATTCTATTTATATATATTTAAAAGACAAACAAAAGTCTGAGTATTCCAAATATTAAAGAAGAAGAGAGACAAGTGGAGTAATAATGTTCCACATTGATTCTAAAAAAAGAAGTTTTAAAAAGATGTAAAAAAAGAAATAATTATACATTCAAATTTTGAATAAATTATCCTAAAATTGATGTTATACTGATTGAAATTGTTTTTCATAGTTTTTTAAAAAATCTCTCTGTGTAATGTAAACTTGTGTCAGTGCAATTAAATAGAGACCAATTTGGCATAATTTCGAAAAAAATAATCTATACTCCCTGATTGGAATATTCTTTATATCAAATCCCAATGCAATTGAAACTTTCTTCTTTCTTTAGATTGACAAAAAAAAAACATAAAGAAAGGTCATATCTATGAAATCATTCTTTGATGCTTTTTATTACTATACTAATTCTTATTCTTGTTAATGCTCAACAAGTGAGTGAAGCAGAATTTGATAAAGAACCTATTTGTGGAGATGGAATTTGGGATTCTTTTACTGAACAATGTGATGGAAGTAATGGATGTGGAAAAGATTGTGTTTGTAAAAAAGGATATACACCAGACAAGAAAGGAAATTGTATTATGTCATGTATGTTTGGTAAAAATTGTATCAATGGATGTACTAAACCTGATGTTTGTATGTTATGTGATGAGAAAAATGGATATACAAGAGATTGTACAGGATGTCAGCCAGGATATATGTGGTTTGGAGAAGGAAATTGTTCCATTTATGATGCTTCAAATATTCAAGGATGTAGAAAATTTATTGATGAATCAAATAATTTAACAACTGAACTTGGACTTTCTGAAAATCCATTTATTATTAATTTGGATCAAAAAAGAGTAGATAATAAACCACTTTCTTATAAAGTAATTATTCCTGAATTACCTGTTGAAAGAAGAAAACTTCAATTGACTCTTTGTTCAAGATTTGTTGATCCAACACGTCCATATACTTATGGAGTATGGGTTCAATTAAATAGTGATAAAGGAGCAAAAGTCAATATTGAAATCAACAAAAGATATACAGTAGATGATATAAATCTTGCAGATGCTCAACAAACAAAAATTGGAACTGAACTTGTTCTTGCAACAACTGAAAAATGTTTACCATCTTTCTCAGAAAAAGAAAGTAGAGAATGTCTTTATAGAAATGGAGGAATTTCAGAATATATTCGTAATCCTCGTTTAACAGCTATTATTAATCCAAAAGTACCATATTATGTTTTTATTCATTCTCGATATGCTTCAATGACTATTCCTTCTTTTACTCTTTATATTTCTGATACTCATCATAGTTGTTCAAGTACTTCTTTTACTATTTCTTGGAATTCTATAATAAGTCCAAATGGTTTTAGAGGTTCTTATAACTTAGAAAATGCCGTTATTTCAAGAAATATTTGTAATCCTTCGACAAATAAAGGATTTTGGTTTATGATTGAAGGAAGTGATCAAATAATAGATATTTCTACTTGTGACTCTGGTGCTTTTGATGTTACACTTGATTTTATTGAAGCAAAATTAAGTGATTATGGATTAGTTGAAGGATCTCTTGATAATATTTCTATTGATTGTAATTCTGCACCAACAAAATGTCTTGCAACAAGAACATATGGTTGTGGTGAAAATTCTCGTCTTGCTAGACTCATTCAAAAACTTGATCATGAACATCTTTATTTCTTATATCTTGAAATAAATGAAGAATATGCCGCAACAATTAATTTAACAATTAAAACAACTTGTCCACATGATTGTGGTGAACATGGTATTTGTTCAACTAGTTCTGGACAATGTGAATGTATTGATGGATATATTTTAAATGATAGAGTATGTACATTATGTGGAAATGGTAAATTAGATAAAGATGAAGAATGTGACCCTTCTGTTGAAGGATATAATGATAGTCGATGTACTGATGCATGTGCATGTCGATATGGAACACAACCAATGGAAATTGATGGTGTAGTAAAGTGTGCAGTTCCAACATGTGGTAATGGACAAGTTGATGATTTTGAAGAATGTGATGGAGGATATGGATGTGATCATTGTGTTTGTGTTAATGGAACAAAAAAATATGCAAAAGCTAGAGCTGGTTGTATTCTTGCTACATGTGGAAATAGAAAATGGGATGAAGGAGAAGAATGTGATGGAGGAGATGGATGTATTGAATGTGAATGTCAACCTGATTGGTATACACAAGATAAAGCACATTGTAAGAATGTATCAAAATCACTTACTAATTTCTTTTTTTGGGGAATAGGAAGTATAGTTTATGTTCTTTATTATATCTTTACTTTAATACTCTTCTTACTTTTGTATATTAGATTAACTAGAAAAATTAAACAAGAAATTGATGATGAAAAACTTATTATCTTTGAGAATACAATCATTCCATTTGATAAAACAAATTCACAATATATTGATTTAAAACAAGAAAATCCTTATTTCTCTTTCTCAACTAATACAATTGATTTTGGTGATATAAGACCTGAAATTGATGAACCAATAGACTATCCTCTAACTTTAACAAACAATTGGAAATATCCAATGCATTTCACATTCCATTCTGGTGATTATACAAAATATGAAATTATGTGTAAACCATTCACTGGAACAATTAGACCAAAGGAGAGTGTTGATCTTTCAATTTCATTTATGGCAAAATGTACTGCATTATTAAATGAAAAAGTTCCTATTACAATACGTTATGGTCAACTTCAAAATGTATTAAAAGATATTAAAAAAGAAAATCCTGAATTAATTGCACATTGTTCACAATCAAGTCAAAATAGTGAAAGTGAAGGAAAGTCCCAAACTTCAGGAACAAATGGTTCAAATTCAATCAAAAAATCTCATATTTCAAAATCAACTCCATCAGGAAGTGGTAAATCAGGATCATCTCATGAATCGGATTCAAAGAAAAAAGGAAAATCTAAAGTATCTAAATTCCATGTTTATTTAAATCTTCAAGTTGAATCTGCTCTTTCTACTAAATTAGATTATGAAGAAATTCATTTACAACATCCACCTATTGGTGGTGGTACATTTGGTATTGTTTATCGTGCTGAATGGAGAGGAGTTGATGTTGCAGTTAAAGTAATGAAAACTGATTTAGTTGGTCTTGGAGAGCTTTTACCTAATTTCATGCAAGAAGCAGAAATGATGGAACGTATTCGTTGTCCATATATTGTAAATTTCATTGGAAGTGTAGTAACTGCTGATACATTATGTCTTGTAACCGAATTTTGTCCATTAGGATCATTAAGAAAATTCATGAAAACAAATCCAATGAGTGATTTATTAAAAGTTAGATTTTGTCAAGATATAGCACGTGGTATGGAATATTTACATCAAAATGATATTCTTCATCGTGATTTAAAAACTGATAATGTTTTGGTTTATTCTAAAAATCCACATGATCCTATTACTGCTAAAGTTACTGATTTTGGTACTTCTCGTTCATTTATTGAATCATCAAATACTATTGCTTTACAAAATATTGGTACACCTGTATATATGGCACCAGAAATTAGTAGAAAAGATCAAATGACATTAAAATCAGATGTATATTCATTTGCTATTTGTATGTTAGAAATTTGGTTAGGAAGAGATCCATATGATCCAATGAAATTCCCTGATTCAGAATCAATATTAAGATTTGTAGGTGCTGGAAAACGACTTCATGTTAGTACTGACTGTATTCTGAAAGGTATTATTGAAAAAGCATGGAATCACAAACCATCAGATAGACCTACTTTCAAAGAATTAGGAACAGAATTAGAAGCTATTTACAAAAAGACTTCTGATAAATCAAAATCAGATTCTCATAATAAAAATCATTCTGAATCAACAAAAACTAACACAAAATCTAAAGATATTTCTTCATCGGAAATAAAATTAACAACAAATACTACTACAAATACAGTTGAAGATCAAGGAGAGAGTATTGAAGCTTCTGCTTCATCTCAAATGGTAGACAATAATTAATTTATTTAGTTTTTCATTAAAAATTAATTTTGTTAGTTAATAATAAATTTTACAAGGATTATGAAAATATTTATTTAAAAGAAAACAAAAGTAGTAAAAAGAAAGGAAAAATTAATCAGATAATTCGACAGCAAGCAATTCTTGAAGTGCAAACTTTTCTGGATAAACACAGTTCACAAATAACAAATTGCCTTTTCCTGAAGGTTCATTATAATTATCACAGAAATTTGAAGGGACATGACAAGGACAATTTGATCTAATATAAAAACAACAATCACAACCAATAACATATGACTGTTCTTTATTGCAATATATCTTCATCGATGTTTGAGAATTTTTCTTTAAAATCTTTAAAGGTTCGGTATTAAATGGATTTTGGAATGAATATACAAAGAAATTTGGATCAGCTCCAACATGTAAATCTCCTAGTCTTGGTGGAGGTGGGATTTGAATAGAAGAAAAGGATCCAAAGACATATCCTTTAGTTGTTAAAACAATAATTAATATATTTGATCTTCCACATATTCTTGCATTTAAAGAACGAGCACTAAGTCCATCTTTACTACTTCTATATAAAATGCGATAATTACGCATATTTGTCCATTCAACAATTTTCTTTTGAAATTTTAATTGTCCAATAACAGGTTGAACTTCCATTTCTTCTAATGATGGAATTTTAGTAGTTACTTGACCATCTTGTGCATGTCCATTTGTTCTTGACTGAGGACGTACCATTTCACTCATACTTACTGAAAAAGATTTTAATCTACCAAATTCACTAGAAACTTTTTCAAGCATTTTTTCATTAGATTCAACTTGTTCATGAAGGTCTTGAACTTGGCTTGGAGATTTTAAAGTTTTTTTAGACTCTGTTAATTGGTTAACTGTTTCAGTAATAGTCTTTTCTTTTTTGATTAAAGCTGTTAAATCACTTTCCATTGATTTAAGAATACTAGTAACAGTACTTAATTCTGGATCACTTCCATGAAGATATTCTTCTTCAGTTGGTTGTGACTCTTTCATTTCATTTATTTCAGAAATGTTTTGGTGATCACAAGATTTTTGAGAAATCTTTTCTTGGTTTGTTGTTTGGTATTTTTCTGTTTCTTTAGTTGTTTGTGATTTATTTTGATCTTCTTTTTGTTTAATACCACTCAATAAATTCTGTACGTCTTGGGAGTGATTTCCATATAAATTTATAACGCCTTGATTAGTTATATAACTAATAACAAATGAACTACTAATGTTCATTGTGCAACTAGTGGGAATACCTGGAACAGGTTGTGGAGGAGCTGGTTGTTGGCTCATCAGTACAATTCAATTTTTTATTTATTTTTTCGATTTTTAAGTTTTCATCAGTTTTTTTTTTAAGTTTCTTTTCATATTGTTTGGGATGGAAGATTTAAATAACATTATTTATTTTTAATAACAAAAAAGAAACCTCAATATTTGTGATATGAAAAAAGAAAAAATCTTAAAATAATTAAAAAAGAGATGTCTCTTCATGAAGATTATAACAAGTTAATTGTAAATTTAGTAAAGAGTCATGACTTATTGGGTCTTGCTGAATTAATGATAAACAACACTACATTTTTTAATGAGTCTGCTCAAGAACAAAAACAAGCGTTAATACAACTTATTCCTTTAATTCAAAATAATAATTTATCTTCGTTGTGTGCTTGTGGAATACATTGTGTCATTAATCAAAATGTAGATTATAATACAATTTCTGAAATACTTCATTCAGCAACATCAGAACATTTATTTGAGAAATCAGAGTATCATTCTATCTTTCGATTAGTGTTAAAAGGATTAATTGATGGAATGCAATCAAAATCATTAACTGAATCAAATGTATTAATGACATTAACCCCAATTCTTCTTTTTCTTAGTAATGATATTCAACCATTACATTTAACATCTACTGAAGTACTTGTTTCAGCTTGGAAAAATTATCCATCATTAATTCCACAAATTGTTCAAGACATTTGTATTGCACTTTCAACATCTACAGCACCTCGTTCTAAATCTATAGTTAATTGTGAATGTGTTCCATTGGATGCAGCATTAATTATTGCATTACAATGTAATGGTGATTTAAAACAAACAACAATACTAGGTACACAATTTATTCGTAGTTTCTTTGGTACATTACAATCAACAGCATCTCCATCATTATTAAATACATTCACTCTTGATTTAATTTCTCTTTCATCTACAGTAGAATTTCCATCAGCATTATTAATACTTCAATTGTTAATTAATGTATTATTAAACCAATTAGTTCATAATAATTTTAATTCAGCAATAAGAAATATTGGAATAGACGTTCTTTCACAAATTTGTTGTTTCTTTACTCAACCAACAGTCTCTTTTATTGACTCAAAAAAGATGCAAGAAGTATGTAATAGTTGTGGATGTGACTTTGTTCAAACAGAAGCAGTTCAATGGTCTTCAGTACCACAAGGAATGTGTGGGAAATGTTATGTAAAAGATTTAATAAATGATTTTTGGAAAAGACTTGCTGGAAGACAAATTGATGAAACATGGTTTATTAGAGAAGTAATACTTGCACGTGCTTCTATTACTACACCTGAAGCATATAAAGTGTTATGTGGTATTTTTGAACGAATGATTGATCCTGAAGATGAAAAAAATAAACAAATTATTGAAACACAAATTGGATGGGAAGAACCAGCAAGTCATTTTATTATTGGAGGAGTATCAATACCTGAAAGTATTAATAAATTTATTCCATTTGATAGATATTCTTATCTTTCTATAGTAATACCAGAATTTAAAACTATATTAGAAATGTGTATTAATTGTTTGTTAAAAATGACTACTGATTCACAGGCATTAGTTCGTTCTCGTTCATTAAAAGGAATACTTAGTTTAATTAAACTTTCAGAAGATCTTTCTAAAAGAAATGTTGTTCAAAAAATAATTATATCAAGACTTAGAGATAAAGCTGCTTCAGTTAGAGAAAGTGCATTAGACTTAATTGCAGTACAGTTAGAAACTAAAGAGGTTAATGAAGTTGTTGATAGACTTTTTGATATTTCTGTATCAGTAAGGAAGAAAGCAGTTAAAATAGTATTACATCATATTAAAGAAATGATTTCTACACCAGAGTCACATGCTATAGATTTATTAAAACGAATATTTTTAATTGCATCACGTCCAGATAGACAAAATGATAGAGAAGAAGCAAAACGAATTTTAAGAGAAGTATTTATACCATTAGATTCTAAAAAAATATCATTATTAATTGATGTTACCGAAACAGAATATTTAGAAGCAATTTCACAATTATTAGATAATTTTAATGCAATACAAATGCAACAATTACAAGAGTATTTACTTAATCAATTAGCAAGTGATAAATTTAATAAAATAATCTTAGTATTGAAAGCAACAGCAAAAGACAATACTACTAAGTCACGTATTTGTTCTAAATTAAGTTTATTACTTAGTTATATTTCACAAGAAGACATTATTCAAACAAATAATGTATTAGAATTAATGGTTATTATTATTCCAACATTAACTGTAAATAAAGCTGATGAAATTGTTTTAAAAAAAATATCAACAACAACAATGAGTTTAACATTTACTGCAACCAACCCTTCAATGATTTCATTATCAGTTAAATGTTTTATTGAAACAGAATTAAAGAAAAATGAAATTGAAAGGGTAGGAGAATTTTGTGTTCAATTTATGAATTTATCACAAAATGTACAAGTAAGACAACGAGCATTAAGTGTATTAGCAGTGTTATTTAGAAGTATTGATATTAGTAATACCAATGCATTAAAACAATTATTTCCAGCTGGAGATAAACCTATTCCAGTTGAATTATTTAATAAATTATTACTTGTAAAATCACAAACAAATGTTGCACTTATTTGCCAAATGAATGCAATCTTTGGATTATTACAACAATATCCAGGATTATATATTCAATATGAATCAATTAAAAATTATTTTACTGTTTATATTTCTAAAACATTACAAACTAATCATGAACAATTATGTGGTTCTACATTATCTTTATTAAATGATTTATTTGAAGCTATTTCAACAGATGAATTATCTGTTTTACAAATGACCCTTGCTCAACAACATACAAAAGAATTAATTTCTTTATTAAAATCAATAAATGCATTAATTAGATATAGGGCATTAACGTTAGCATCTTCAATTATTAAAAAAGGATTAATTAATCCAATAGAATTAATATCATCATTAATTGCATTAGTTACTGATAAAACTCAATTAACTTCTTCTAATTCAATTTCATTATTAAGATTAATTGGAGAAAAACATAGTTCATTAATATTATGCCGTTTTAGTGAAGGAGTAACTGAAGGGTATCAATTAAGAGGAAATGAACATTTATTATCAAGAATTCCACATCCATTAAGTTCAATTTATACAATGTTTACTTTAACTCAACGTAAAAATGTTATAACAACATTAACTAAAAGATATATTGATGCACTAGAAAATATGATAACAATAAAAGAGATTTATCAACAATTATTTGTATTAGAAACATTAGTATTATTACAATACACTAAAAGTACAGAACTTATTTTAATTATTCAACCACTTAAACGAATTAATGGTACTGTTCTTCCTGATATTAGAGACATTATTAAAAAGAGACAAAAAGATGGAAAAAACATTTCACCTGATCTTATTGCTCAATTAGTTGCATGTGTATTTACTACTGTTTGTACTAAATTCTTGATTGATTATTATAACTTTAATGAAGAAAGTTCAAATGATCCTTTAAATGCACAAATTGCTGATTTACAAGATGAAAATAATCCATTCATTATTGCTGGATTTAAATATTTAGATAAAGTATTTACTGATGCACAAACATTTGGTGAATATTGGAAATATTCAAAGAAAATTATGGATGGAGAATATTGTGCATTTCTTCCATCAAAAAAATAAAGAATTATTGAATTTTTATGTTTTTTGTGTTA